TCATTGGATTGGGGGTGATCTATTTGAAGCACGTGGTGTTATAGGAGCGGAGCTGCCTTATCTGTTACAAGTTTGAAAGATTAATTTTATTCAAATGGTGTCTTGGCTGGAAAGATGGACTTTTAACACAACTATTGGTGCACTTATATATTGATTTTAGATCACAATTGTGTTTTTTACTTTTATGAATTTAATTGTTTATTTATGTATTTGTGTGCACATCATAGCACTTGAGCACTTGCTGCGTTTATTTAGTTAACTATTAATTTTGGTAATGTGCTTATTGCATTCATCTTAAAAGAAGCATTTATTATGGTTGAGCATATATCACAGGATTTTTATTAATATATTCATATGGGTTTATTTATAATATTGGCTTATTTTTGTGGTAAATGCACTATTGATTTTGCCACCTTTCTTTGGGGTCCTATAAACATTTATTTTATATCATTTACATGGTGCTTTGAAATACAACATATACACCATCGTTTGTAGATGCTATAACATTTACACAAACGAATCAATATACACTTTTTGGGTTTGTTTTTTTTTGACCAAAGACATGTAGCAGAATAAATTTTTCCCTAAATTTATGAAGAAATTTGATTATTAAATTCTATGTTTTATAGCAGAAAGTAAAAAATAAATTTTGAAAAAAAAAAAATATAACAGTGGTGATCAAATGTCATGAAAAGAAAGTACTATTTTGTGTGAAAAAATGATATAAATTCCATTTGGGTACAGTGCTGCACGACTGCACAATTACCAGTAGCACAGTGCCAAATAGCAAAAAAAATTGCCTGGAGTGGTTAAAAACCTCATGTACCTATAGATGGCTTAATGAATGGCAACCATAAATAAATTACACCTTGCAGATGAGTGTGAACTTGGACTTCATAGGCTAAGGGGTTGACATCAAGGGAGGAGAAACTCTTTGAAGCATGGAACCAACCTATAGGTACATACCCTAAAATCAAAGGCTGAACCTCCAGACTGGAGTTGACATAGGCCTAAGAGGCCCAGAAAAATAACTCTACAGAACCCAACATGTATTAAAAAGCCAGGCTGAAAAACAACCATGTAATCACTGGTTAAGTGGTGAGGAACATGGGATGAACTTGTGAAAAGGCTGGGAGCTCTGAGAAGCAAAGAACTGATAAGTAAACAAAGGAAATGCATTTCAGCTATACAGAAAATTGGATGGAAAGGAGAAAAAATAAAATCACCAGAATTCCCATTACTGTACAATGAAGGAGGTTCATGTACAGATTTTATAGTACGCGAGGATTGTAAACCATTAGCTATTGACTTTAGCCCTGTCAATGAGAAAATCTGTGCGTTCCGAATGAAAGGAGAGGTTTTAATACCTACATGATCAGCGTGCATAGAGGTCATGGATGAGTTTTATGAAAACGTGGAAGAGACATATAGAAAAGCTCCCACAAAGGATTCTAAAATAATAATTGTTAGATTAAATGCAATTATGGGATGAGAAACGATATACAGCCTATACATACACTAAAAGGCCAGGTGATTAAGCATTTCCAAGGTAGAGTACTATTAATGCTAGGGCATACAAAGACATTTTAGACAATTGTGGCAAGTTTGATGAAGGCCTTTTTATGTTTCAGCAGGACTGTGCTACTGTGCACAATGTCAGCTTCATAAAGACATGCTTTGACCAGACTGATGTTTAAAAATTTAAACTAGGATAAAAAAGGTAATAAAGCTGTTACAGGGGGTTCAAAAATGCTTTGATATTGCTACTGATGGACAGCATCATATATGTCAGGTTTGATTGTGCCAAAAGCTCCACTGCCATGAATTGCCATGTTGCAGAAGACTTCATATATAGGGGGCATATCTATAAAACAGTCACTGACTCTGGACAACATTTGTCAGTGTGAACATTTATGAGTGTGAATGATCAGCAATATCATAGTTACAGAAAGCTAAAAAAACAGATTTGTATTGGTCAGAGCTCTCAAAGTGATTAAACTGTTTTAAGGCCTCCAGACAGATTATTTGATTTTGCTTGGACAGAGCAGCTAAGTGCTAGAATCTATGTTAGGCTTTTATTGCCATCGCAGTCCATTTTGGAAAGCTTTCCCCTCTGTTAGGAGGGAGCAGGGTGAGCTGAGCTGCTGAGTTATTGCTGGGAGGGAGAGGCAGGGTGAGCTGAGCTGCTGAGTCATTGCTGGGGTGGCAGAGCAGAGAGAGCTAAGGTACCGAGTCACTACTGGGAGCAAGGTAAGCTGAGGAGTCACTGCTGAGAAAGAGAGGTAGGATGAGCTGCTGAGTCTCTGTTGGGGAGGGAGAGCAGGGTGAGCTGAACTGCTGAGTCACTGTTGGGGTGGCAGAGCAGAGTGAGCTGATCTACTGAGTCACAGCTGGGAGCAGGGTGAGGTGAGTGGCTGAGTCATGGGTTGGAGGTGGGAGCAGGGTGAACAGAGCTGCTGTGTCACTGCTGGGAAGGAGAGACAGGATGAGCTGAGCTGCTGAGTCACTGCTGGGGAGGCAGAGCATTGTGAGCTGATCCACTGCTGGGGAGGCATAATAGGGTGAGTTGAGCTGCTGAGCCACTGGTAGGAAGGCACAGCAGGGTGAGCTGAGCTGCTGGGGAGGCAGAAAAGGATGAGCTGAGCTGCTGAGTCACTGCTGGGGAGGTAGAGCAGGATGAGCTGAGGAGTCACTGCTGGGGAGGCGGAGCAGGGTGAGCTGAGCTGCTGAGTCACTGCTGGGAGAGCAGAGCAGGGTGAGATGAGCTGCTGAGTCACTGCTGGGGAGGCAGAGCAGGGTGCGATGAGCTGCTGAGTCACTGCTGGGGAGGCAGAGCAGGGTGAGATGAGCTGCTGAGTCACTGCTGGGGAGGCAGAGCAGGGTGCGATGAGCTGCTGAGTCACTGCTGGGGAGGCAGAGCAGGGTGAGATGAGCTGCTGAGTCACTGCTGGGGAGGCAGAGCAGGGTGGGATGAGCTGCTGAGTCACTGCTGGGGAGGCAGAGCAGGGTGCGATGAGCTGCTGAGTCACTGCTGGGGAGGCAGAGCAGGGTGAGATGAGCTGCTGAGTCACTGCTGGGGAGGCAGAGCAGGGTGCGATGAGCTGCTGAGTCACTGCTGGGGAGGCAGAGCAGGGTGAGATGAGCTGCTGAGTCACTGCTGGGGAGGCAGAGCAGGGGGATGAGCTGCTGAGTCACTGCTGGGGAGGCAGAGCAGGGTGAGATGAGCTGCTGAGTCACTACTGAGGAGGCAGAGCAAGGGTGAGCTGAGCTGCTGAGTAACTGCTGGTGTGGCAGAGCCAGAGAAGCTGAGCTACTGAGTCACTGCTGGCAGCAGGGTGAGCTGAGGAGTCGCTGCTTGGAGGCAGGAGCAGAGTGAACAGAGCTGATGAGTCGCTGCTTGGAGGCAGGAGCAGGGTGAACAGAGCTGATGAGTCACTACTTAGGGGTGGGAGCAGGAAGAGCAGAGCTGCTGTGAGAATGACGTGAACAACTTTGGTGCTTTTGCTGTGAATAGGAGAATGAATTGCTCCACAGTGCTACAGTTACAGAGGTCACTAATGGCTTGTTTTAATGTTCATTTACTGCTTGTTAGGAGTATGTAAATACTTGAATGCCCATAGCATGGTGACAGTTCTACTTTAAAGACATGAAAGCAGTTATACAGGGCATGATGGAAACCTTTGCCTCAGTAAAGAACTATAACAAGGAAATAATATTTCTACTACTCTTCTCAACTCCAAATGCAATAAGATAGATAACCAATAATCCTAAAAACACTATACAAAATACAACTGTACAGTGAAAAATGAGAATACAGAATTAAGCAACTATCCATATACAGTAGCAACTAATCAGCATCTTGGATGGCTTGTCTTTGCTATAAGAATGGGGAAGGAATCTCAAAGAAATCTTGGAAGAAGAAAAAGAGAAGACAAAAGAAAACTAAAGTTGTTATGTGGAAGGGGACTGAGGAAAGCTCAGAGTCAGAAATCAGAGATAAAAAGGAATAGAATAGGATGGGCTATAATTATGCAGCAATCATTTTTAGGCAAGCAGTTAAGTATGAAAACATACTGCATATGTTATATCCATGTAACTCCTTATGCATGCATTTTCAGGGCCGATATTTTACTGTATTGTAAACAAACACCAAAGTTTCATTGCCTGACATTTTCAGCGTCTCACTATTTTTGCAGTTACTATTGCCATGATAATACATTTTTGGACAATCAATAAAAGGCATAGTAACTTACTGACCTCTAAACCCAACTCTTAAACTGGGTATACATGGACTGAAAAATCAGCTTGTGCAGCAGGAGCAGGCCGCTTTCTAATCTGTGTGTAACCACTCCGGTTTGACAGAAGCCAATCAATAGATTGCCTTCTGTAGAATGGTTATGTTGGAAAACCTCATTTGAGTAGCGGCTTGCAGCCGATCGGCTGCAGCACTGATCTGCAGCACTGATCAGCTGCAGGGCTGATCAGTGTAATCTGACAGCAGTGTAGCGTCTTCCGACGGTGTCCTTGGTTGTGTGGATGCAAGAATCTGTTTTTTGTTTTGTTTTTTTTATGTTCAGCCTGCAGACTGAACGAAAACAAAATTGATCCAAGGGTACCTAGCTTTAGTCAAAGCTTCAGGAGAAATGTATACTTTCACGGTGACAAATACCATTTCTGCAGAGCTATAAGTTAATTCTTCATGTATGAGAATTGTTGTAACACATGTGAGAAACACTCCAAACATCATTGTACTTCATTTCTTCTACCAAATTTCCAATGCCAAAAGCAATCCTTCAAAACCCATCACTTTCTCATAGCTGTTGCTCAGCAAGGAAACTGACTATACTGTCTGACATAAAGACAACCACTAGAGAGAATATCTACCACTGTGTATTATGTTACAAAAATGTACAAATGTGAATTTTGCTTTTAAGTAACCTTTGAAATAGAATTTGAAAAGATGTGATAGCATTATTGTAATTGTTGTAAAGAAAAGATACCTGGCCTATTAATAAATTCAGAGTGGCCCAGACCGGCAATGTCCATCCTCTTCAGAAACAGGACCATGGACGTCAGGTTAGACTCCTGGACCTTCGGAGTCAGGAGGGTTTTCATTTCAGTTTGGGTGACCTCCTCGGGGTAGAGACAGAACATTTTCCCTGTAGAGAGAGTCATATTATGTGGTTACACAGCAGACCCCCATCAGAAGGAGCTGCACTGCGTTCAAGAGGAATACATATGGTGCAAATAATAAAATATTAGCAGTAAAATATATTGGAAGCAATTTAGGACCTGGGAGATACAAGAGAACCTGCAAAACGAATGAACTGGGAAATGTACAATGGTGTCCCCCCGGTGACTTTAATGAGCTACAAATCAGAACCAGCATTTTATCTTAGGACTGCTACAGGCTGCAGACACAGGACCACTGGATGTCAATGAATGAAATATGGAATGCTGTTTTGTTTAGGGGGACATTAATAATCCTGTTCTTGCTGGGTCCCAGGAAGCCTCATTGCAGAGCATTGCAATAGCAGCAGGAAATGTGCACATACAAGATAGAAGATACTGGCTTTGCTCGCCAGTCTGAGCGTCTGCAGATGTCAGCGCTTATGTAATTGACTAATATCACCAATACGAATTGGTCAGAACAGAGTTTAATATGTATATGCCGGTTATTTTCTTTTATTGAACTCCGAGACAAGCCTAATTACAAGAGTCATGCATATTCCTACTTGAATCTTGGTGTACTTTATGTATTTTTCCCACATCCGTGTAGTAATCCAGTGTGAAACATTATCTCTTTACAGGAGCTTCTTGTAATAAAGCCCGGTCACTGCTGCTCTCTCTCCTTGTGCAGGGTGACTGGTCTTGTCTCCACCCACTGCTTTTTTCTGCAGGCAGCCCGTAGTGGGTGTGTGGCTTTATAGGTCCCTCCCAGGGGCGGACTGACAACTCATGGGGCCCCCGGGCAATAGGGGAATCATGGGGCCCCTGTGCCCTTGCCCAAACTCAAAAAAGCCTATGAAAAAGGTACCAGGGGCATTCATGGGGCCCCCTACTGACTCCGAGCCCACGGGCAGTGCCCGAGTTTCCAAATGGTCAGTCCACCTCTGGCAGTTTTGCTCTCTAGACAAGCTATATTTAGTGCAGTAATGATGTCACTGCTATTTTTAGAAGGCAATATGTCGGTTTGCAAAGGCATTTGGAGCACAAAAAGTGAATTTATATCCTATGTGGCTATTGAGAAATACAGTTTATTTAAAGTTTCAAGGTTGTGTTCCCTGAATTCAGATTTAAAGCACGAAGCAGTAGCTACAATAAATGCTACATCTCCCTCTGTGCTGTAGCCCCCCCCCCTTATGTTTTGTTTTGTCTTTTTAATATGGTCTCTGATGTCATCACAGGAGATAAAAAGATCCTTCAGCCGCTAGAGCCTGGAGGAGGGATCCATAGGTACAAAAAAGAGTGCAGAAAAGGCAGAGAGTTATCCAAGGCAGGCATAGCTTGTATGCAAGACACCAGCTTCCATTTCTGGTCTCTGCCCGATGACATCAGAAGAGGCAGTGAGGAGACCAGTCACCCTGCTCATAGAAAGCAAGTAGCAGTGACCAGGCACTACCCAAAATGGGGACATTGCTAACCAGAAAGGTTGCATGTTTAAATGGTGCTCTGAAGCACAGGATCAATTATTAATGCAGTGAAAACTATTTTTTCACCAGGTATGCTGCATCTAAAGAATTAAAGAGTAACTCCAAATTCTGTTGAGATAAAAAAAAAAAAAAAAAAAAAAAAAAAAAAAAACACTCCCTCTGGGTGATCTATGTACATTGCAAGGATTTTACCAAACTTCGTAGCTAATTCCTACCTTTAGTGGTTTTTGTCTGTGTCCCAGTGCAAGATCAATGTGATTTCCCTTTGGGAGTAGCTCACCAAAAAAAAATATTTTTGTTGCAGAGGATGCCCAAAATCTAAACTTGTATCCAAGTGCAGACTTCTGGGAAAATCAGTGAGCCAATTACACAAGCAGGAAAAGACATTTCTGGGGGCGTTCTGTACACCATCTGTGTACAGAACGCCTCCAGGTTGCCGTATTGCATTGCATTTTTGCTTTTTACAGAAAATTACAGTGCTGCAGATTGAAAAAGGAAAGATAATTTTTAATAACATTCAACTGAAATTTGACTTGTTTCACAGTTTGTATATGCCATATTATCTTTTTTTTTTTTATTTGCCTTTTTTTTTTTCAATGAAAAAGGAGTTACCCTTAAAGGCAAATTCTATTGTACCTGGAGCTCAGCTTTAATACAGCGCTATCAACAAATATGGTGGGATTGTCCAAAAATACAAAGGTTTTGGAAAGATGCAATCCAATTCATACAAGAGGTATTGGGGACAACCATACAGAAGGATCTATGGGTGTGTTTTATAGGACAGAAGCATCAGTGAAGCACTATAAAAAACAGTATATTGTACCACCTAATCAGTGCGGCTAAGGGGCTTATTCCAAAATCTTGGCGGTCACAGGAGCCCCCAACAATGAGGGACTGGTTAGACAGGGTGGAATATATAGGTAATATGACTAAATTTAGAAAGGATTGGGGAAGATGGTATGACTAAGGCATCTGGAAAATATATTGAAGTAATGGGAGGCCCAGGGATCTGATTTGAAGTTGGAGCATAAAGGGAAGATCTGTAAGGCAATAGCATGAATAGGGAGAAGGGAAAAGAAAGACTTGAGGGAAAGGAAGAATAGTAAGAAAAAGGAAGAGTTGGAAGCAGGGGCGGACTGACCATTTGGAAACTCGGGCACTGCCCGAGGGCCCGGGGGGTCAGTAGGGGGCCCCATGAGATGCCCCTGGTACTTTTTCATAGGCTTTTTTGAGTTTGGGCAAGGACACAGGGGCCCCATGATCCCCTATTGCCCGGGGGCCTCATGAGTTGTCAGTCCGCCCCTGGTTGGAAGTGAGGATCGAGGAGAAAGATCATAGGTATAGAATGGAAAGTTGGAAAGAGAAGGGAAGAGCTAAATGGACCGGGGTAAATTATTAGGGGGTTGGGTGAGGGGGTTGTGGGCTTGCAAAATTGTAGGGGAATAGTTGTATTTAGGATGTAAATGTTATTTTGCTGTGCTTTTGTAAGAAAAAAAGAATTTAATAAAAAAAAAAAAAAAAATACAGCGCTATGATATTCCAAAGCTCATTAAAGTAATAGCATAAGCAGTTGACCAAACAAAACCTAGCAGAATACATGCACTATTGGGGCCGTGTTTGTTATAGCTTACTCCTAATAATGATCAGCTATTGATTCAAAATGCTTATAAAACCTGGGAGGGGTGGAGGACCTGTAATAAAAATATACTGGAACACATCAAAAGTTTACAGCAGCCAAGAACGTACATGCGATGCAGCCAGTATCTATAACAAAGCAGGATTACGGTGCATAGGGGAGAACTTACTACTATAAAAACACATCAAATACACGTTTCACTGCTGCAGACTTGCAGACAATATTTTCCTTTATAAATGTTTTACCTGCAGGACCAGGAACCAGAATCTGCTTCCTCATCTCCGCTTGAACCTTGCTGATTAGCTGATTGATGACAGACGCAGCACGAATCCTGGTGTTGTAAACCTTAAAGTAAGAAGATGAAAAAACATAAAAATCTTGTTTCTGGGAATGTAGCTTTCGGTAAATCCCTTAAAGGGAAACTTTCAGGAGTAAATCCCTTAAAGGAAAACTATCAGGATAAAAGATTAACTTTATTTCCTTTTTGATAAGAGAAAGGGAGGGTTATAGCCTCTGTCAGGTTTTTTTTTTTTTGCCCTCTTTGTCCCATAGGGGAGATTTCCCTTCACTTCCTGTCCCATAGCAAAAACAAGAAGCAAGAGCAAGAGAAAATCCTTCCAAAGTGAGAGAATCCTGAGGTGTCACCAGAACTAGCGTCCCTATTGGGAGATTTCTCCTCTATTACTGTTCTGGTGTCAACCCAACATTTGGGATTTTCTTTCAGTTTCAATGAGAACAGTAAACTGTACAAACAGGGTGAATCTCTGTTACCGTGGCACAGACAGACATTAAAAAATGGTGTTGTCAAAGCTTAATTGAACAAGCTGACATTATTCTTATTCAGGACTTATATAGCGCCAGCAGTTTGCTCCGCGATTTACAATATAAAAGGGAGACAATACAGCAACAATACAGTTCAATACAAGAGGGTTAGCAGGGCCCTGATCCTTGGAGCTTACAATCTAAGAGGGAGGGGCTGGTGGTACAAAAGGTAATAACTGCGGGGGATGAACCGATAGGAGAGATAGAAGATCTGGTTATTAGCTGAAGGCAGGATAGGATTCCCTGAACAGATTTTCAGAGATCGCCTAAAAGTGGGCAGAGTAGGCGACAGTCAGATAGATTGGGGTAGAGAGTTCCAGAGGATGGGGGGGAGGCTCTGGACAAGTCCTGGAGACGAGCATGGGAGGAGGAGACAAGAGAGCTAGAGAGCAGGAGGTCATGGAAGGAACGGAAAGGACGGTTTGGGTGATATTTGGAGACAAGATTGGTGATGTCATTTGGGGCAGTTAAAAATGGCTTTATATGTTATTTTAATGTTTTGAATTGTATTCTTTGGGCAACGGGAAGCCAGTGGAGGGATTGGCAGAGAGGGGTGGCAGATATGGAACGGTTAGTAAAGTCGATGAGTCTGGCAGCAGCATTCATGATAGACTGAAGAGGGGATAGCCTGCGATGAGGTAGGCCAATGAGGAGGGAGTTACAATAGTCAAGGAGAGAGAACAAGGGAGTGAATAAGCTGCTTAGTGGTTTCCGTGGTTAGGAACAGGCATATCTTGGAGATGTTGCGGAGGTGAAGTCTACAAGATTTGGACAGTGATTGGATTTGGGGCTGAAAGGACAGATGGGAGTCTAGGATTACACCTAACACCCTGGCATAAGGGGAGGGACTGATTGTTGTATTATTGATCTTGATGGAGAAGTCAGGGGAGGAGACACATTAGAAGTGGATTGACTGCCATGCACAGCTGCACCAGATATGGCACTCTCCAGTTTTAGTAAATCAAACCCATTGGGCATTGTATAAATGTGAGGCGTGGCTGTGTTTTAAATGCGCTGTTAGTGTTAAAGACTCCCACCCCTGTTTAGGGACAGTTGCTTCGGTCAGATAGCCTCTTGCATGTCTATTTTGAAACCATTTCATACTTGTCATTTTTGAAAATCGGCATTTGCTTTTGATGCATTTCATGACTCCATAGTCCTTAGATTAAGGCAGTGTTTCTCAACTCCAGTCCTCATGGACCCCCAACAGGTCATGTTTTCAGGATTTCCCTCAGATGAAACAGCTGTGGTAATTACGAAGGCAGTGAAACTGATCAAATCACCTGTGCAAAATAATGGAAATCCTGAAAACATGACCTGTTGGGGGTCCATGAGGACTGGAATTGAGAAACACTGGATTAAGGTGACCGAGATGCCCATTTGGGTATAAATGCTAAGATATGTCTCCGAGACCCATTCTAACTGCCATAAGTTGTCAAACATCTTCAATATTACCAAACAGGTCCAGTTTAATTTGACCAACCACCACCAGCTAAATGCTGTTATGTTCATGGGTTAATCTGGGTTCAGGATTCCACTCAAAACCCAAATATTGTGAAGTTTTTTTTGCAACCATAAGTTCTGTTGAATTTTCAACGCAACACACAAAAAACGCACGGTGGTAGACAGGCTTCCCCATTAAGGGTCTCACAAAGGTGTCGGAGGCAAAAAACATAGGAAGCAAGGTATACAAGGACAGGGCTTTTTTTTTTTTTTTTTTAGCTAGAACCTGGTGGAACTCCGTTCCGCCACCTCCAGCTCAGGTCCTTTGATCCCTGCTTACCACTGTCACTTGTAAACACTGAAGTCTGGCTTCTGTGTTTAGAGGCAACAGCTTGTCTCCCAGTGGCTCCCGCAGATCTGATCTCCTGAGTAACTCCCACTGGGTAAAGGATGGGGACAGAGATGCAGGTGCCCGAGATGCAGTGCGGTCATAGGAGAGGGGGGCATCGCGTGGCAGGTTGCACTCTGTGATCTCCATTTTATACCTGATGCTCAGATAATTTCTCTGCAAGAGGTGGATCTCCTTATAAATGTGTGGAGGAAGCACTAGCGCCAGCTGGGTGCTTTGGCCTAATACAGCAACAAAAGTAAGACATATGGAAAATGGGAGCTTTTAGGGATGGGGGCAAGAGATGAGGGAGGTAGAGAGGGGTTGTGTGCAGAGGTCAGAGCTGAAGAGGGGCAAAAGTGAGATGTGGATGGGAGATGCAGAGGTTATTAGCTGTGGAAGAGGGCTGAAATCTGCACTCTGTGTGTAGCACACTCCTGAAATCTGAACTCTTTACATATCGCACCCTTGAACTCTGCTCTGTGTGTGTAGCGCACCCCTGAACTCTGCACATAAAGGACTCTGGTATTTAATGCTCCTTTAAAGACCCTCCCATTGTTAGTGAAATTTGGCCACACTTACGATTTCATGAGGTTTGGCAGTTGTGTGTGTAGGGGAGGCATGGTTGAGTTCCTGCACCTATTCTCTGAAGAAAAAAAGCCCCGTACAAAAAACGCTACACTTTAAAAATGGCTAATGTGACCGTAGGAAAAAAATGGTCAAAATTCTACATGTTATTCCAATTCCAATCTCGGCATTGCACCAAGACAGTAAAGTGGAGACCAGAGAGAGGACGAAGGCTAGAGAGCAGGAAGAGATGGAGGAGGAAGGGAGGGTGAGGGGTCCAACAGAGTCCTGTCGTATCAGAATGAACGAAGGCTCAAATAGGCAAAAAAAAAAAGATAGGGTTGTAGATTAGAAGAATGCCATGCATGTACTCCATATAACATAGTAACAAAATTTGGAAATCAGTCATGCAAGTGGGCAGTTGGTTACTCCATTTTCATTATATTATTTAAATGACCCAATCCCTAACCAGTGCAATTGTTTTTGTCGTCTAGTGCCTAGGGGCCCACCTGCACAAAGAAGAAATTGTAATAGGATCTTCTTTGCTACCATGGAATAGAGGGCTATTTCTGAGGCTTCTGTCCAAATCAAGCCCATAATTATATTATATAGGCAGAACAATGCATATTGTGAAGTCGGCTGACTTTTTCCTAGATTGGCCCAAGCAAGTGCATGCTATAAATCACATGTGTCAAACACAAGGACCGGGGGCCAAATCCAGCCCGCCAGGCCATTTCATGTGGCCCTCACACCCAGGGCTTTTTTAGCTGGAAAAAGGCAGAGTGGTGCAGAGGTCAAAGCTGAGAAGGAGAGGTGGAAAAGATGTGGACAGCCCTTGAAAGAGAGCTGAACCCTGCACCCTGTGCATAGCACACCCCTAAGCCCTGCACTCTGTACACAGCACACTTCTGAACTCTGCACAACACATACTCCTGAATTGTGCACTCTGTATGTAGTGCACCCCTAAAGCCCTGCACTCTGTACGAAGCAGCACACCTGAACTCTGAATACATTGTCTTACAGATACAACCGACCCTTTGCAGGCAACCTAATGCTGATGTGGCTCGTGATGAAATTGAGTTTGACACCCCTGCCATAAATCATACTCCTTTCTGGAGCAGCTCGGCATTCTATATGTGGTAAATATGGCAAATAGCAACAATTGGATGGTAACGACCTACTGCAGCAACCTCTCTCATGCTATTATAAGCTCCATAGGGCTACTGCCTGTCCACCAAAGTTTTATTACATTGGATGGTCTGTAATTTTATACAAGTAAATATTAGTCACAAAATCCAGCTGGTGACGGGCTCATTTTCCACATAATGCCAACAAGCAGCGGGAGGAACGCTGCAAACCTGAAATGTAAACGACTGTGTGGGCAGGCCAACCGCAGCTAGGGGAAATCCCAATTCAATCTTCCCTGTACAGAGTAAGTAAAAAGAACACTGAGTAGGCCTGTATCGTCGAACAGTGTGCGAGTACAATTACCTTTTCCGTGATTGATCACACACAGGCCAGCCGGAGATCGATATGCACTAATGTAAATGAGCAGAGCTACATAGCAGGCTCTCCTGTGAGGTCTTTCGATAGAGAGGACGCCAATGGCTTGCGCTCTCATCAAGATGTAACCCGCTGAGCTTCAGGAACACTGCCACTCTCAGTCATTAGTGTCCTGGAGCTCAATGCTCTCCAGCACTCATTAGTTTCACAGTTATTTGCAGAGCCTTGTGCACTTCATTTCATGATCCACAAGATGTTACAAGGAAATACGCATCACAAACAATTGTTTACTGTCAGTATAGCAGACATCAAGGGCAAGGGAGAAGACGGATAAAAATATTCCAATATTCTTTTACGTGCATAAAGGACTACTCTATCCTAATAGCAAAAAAAACTCCTACTCAAATATTTTTTCTGACAAAAAGTTTACCAAGTGATTACCATACTCTAGTGATTCAACCACTCTTGTTGTGCTCTAGGGCTACACAGCGTAAAAGAGTGACAATATTGTACCAGCATACAAATCTGTGGAGGCCTACCACCTACTCTTTGAAAAACTACTGAACACTAGTGATGAACACTATGAGATGTAGACCTACCTAATTTTCCCCTTGCCTCCTAA